ATTAATCTAAAGTCAATAATGAATTAAGTTTTGAACTATGACCACAAGAGGATATAAGAACCACATCACATACATAATGATCAAAGTGTTGTGCTTTCCACATGGTTGGCACATTATGGCCTTACACATGATTTTGATTTTCATGGATAATTTAGAAAATTGTTGATCCAATTTTCATAGAAGTGACCTCATTTCAATACCCATATATGTGAAATTTGTCATGAGTACTTCCATATTTAAGACATTTCACTTAATGAATTACAAATTTCATTAAGAGTATATAACTCAACTCTTAATTCGTTATAAGATAAATGCATCCTCACCCAAGAAATGAGACCAGAAATTTTGTTTCATTTTCCATAAATAATTTCCGCTAAAATTCATTAGAGAATAATAACAGTAAAAATAAATAACTAAAAGAATATATAACCATGGAAAATAATTTATCTATGGTAAATATAATGCAAAGTCCATGACTTGTTAAATGCACTTTGCATTCATTGAAAATAAATCACTATTAACCATGTATTAAGAACAAACGGCTACTTCATCTTGATATGTCCATATTCACGGGTCTGTCAGATTACCTATGTGTTGAACAAGGGAGATGCTTTCGTGTTCCCTGTTGGCCTCATTCACTACCAAAGGAACGTTGGCAACGGTGCTGCTATTGCACTTGCAGCTCTCAGCAGTCAGAATCCGGGAGTCATCACCATTGCAAATGCAGTGTTTGGGGCAACTCCTGATATTGCCACTAACATTCTTGCCAAGGCTTTCCAATTGGACAATAACGTTGTCAATAGCCTGCAATCCAAGTTCTAGACCATCGCCTATGTTTGATTCTTTGATTGCAAGTGTGCTGTCTTGTGTTTGATTCTGTTGTTAGCAGTTCATTATTTGTTTGGTTTGAAGAAATTTGATTGGTTTGTCATGGAGGCTTCCAAATATGATTAAAGTAGTCACAATTGCAGTCTAATTTTAAGAAGATTCAAATTTTTGTGTGTTTATATTTCTTGATCTCCTTTTTTAATCATTTATCTTCCATGTAACATTATCATTTCTTGTTTAACTAAGAAGGTAATTAAGAGGGCATATTTGAGCATTGCCATGTTCCCTGTAGAAAATGCATTCACACCTTTTGATCCCACAAGATGCGAGAAAAACTCTATAGAACTATTCAACGTAAGCATTGAACCAAAAGTTTTTGTTTGAGACTGAAACCTTTTTAAGTGTTAAACATTCAATACTCACCAATAGTCTCCACAAGAGCAATAACCCTCTTTAAAATGGTGGAACCGATTTACATCCCTCACAACTATCTCCCGTTCGTAGATCTTGGATATGAATTTGGTAACTGTATGACAGTCTCCACAGATTCGAAGATTTTTCGTTACACGAAGAACTACATCAGCATTCGTGTTTAGCAGTCCAAAAGCAATTGCTAGCTTTTCGCTGTGTGTGGCAAGGTTGTGTTCTTTCTCTTCTTCACTAATGTCATGCAACACAAAACTAGTATCAGGAATGTAACCAGCTGCCTTGATTTTCTCCGGTAATGTTTCCAATAACTTGTACATTTCTTTTGCCTGAGGATGAGACGTATCTCCACCAAGGAACAAGTGGGATTTTCCATTTACCTCAATCCAACTGCATCCAGGGCTCTTCTTCATACCTTGACATTTTAGAAGGCCTCTCAAATTATCCACCTCCTTCCACATGTTGGCTTCAGCATACATGTTTGAAAGCAGAACATAATTACCACTGTTATCAGGTTCTAACATCAACAGCTCCCTAGCTGCCATCTGTGCAATCTCCAAATTCTTGTGTTTCCGACAAGCAGCCAACAGTGCACCCCAAATGCTTGGTCCTGGTTGCATTGGCATTTGATCAATGAGTTCTTTGGCTTCTGCTAATCTCCCGGCACGACCTAAAAGATCCACAACACAAGCATAATGTTCAACTCTTGGTTTGACAGTGTACAATGTACTCATAGAATTGAAATATTTTAAGCCAGCATCAAGTAGACCGGAATGACTACAAGCAGATAACAATCCTATGAATGTGATTGAATCAGGGCGAACTCCAGCTCCAATCATGTCCTCGAAAGTGGATAGACACTCCAACCCACGTCCATGGGAGGCATAAGCAGTAATCATAGTATTCCAAGCAATCAAATTTTTTTCCTTTTGACATATCTTATCAAAACAGATACGAGCATCAACAAGGCTACCACATTTAGCATACATTGCCACTAATGCAGTCTGTACTGAGACATTGGAGCCCAAACCAATTCTATTAGCATAATCATGGATCTGACTCCCACGCTCAAGAGCAGCTGAATGTGAACATGCAGGTAGGACACTCATTATTGTCACCCAATTCGGTTTCATCTCTGAATCTTCCCTCAACATCTCATCAAACAATCTCAATGCCTGCTCTGCTAACCCATTTTGGGTGTAGCCTGATATCATAGCTGTCCAGGAAAAAATACTCTTACATGGAGTTCTAGCAAACAAATCCTCAGCAATGCTGATTTCCCCTTGGTTCATATACCCTGCAACCAAAGTATTCCAAGAGGAAACATCTCTCACACACATTCTATCGAACAGCTTATGGGCATCCCTTATCTCACCGCATTTAACATACATATCAATCAATGAAGTAGCAATATAGAAATCAAACTCAATCCCAATTCTTAAACTCTGCGCATGAACACATTTTCCCATCCAAATGCTTGATAAATCAGAACAAGACTTAAGCACGAAAGGAAACGTAAAATTATCACCTTTATGCCCTCTGCAATGCATTTGACAGACCAAATCTATTGTTTTCAAAGCAAACCCATATTTTGCACAAGCTCGAATAATTGAATTATACAACAGAGAAGATGGGTTGTTTACTCTATTGAACACTAGAACAGCTGAATCAAGATCCCCCGAACTTGCATACATGGCAACCATCTTGGCAGCAACGAAGGCATTCGGATCCTTCCCATGGAGGGTCATGTGGGCATGGATTTGTTGTCCTAATTTCAAGAAGTTTTGGCCAGTCAGAAACTGGAACAGAGGAGCATATGATGAAAGCTGAGGTGGGTCTTGCTCCAAGATTGGTTCTAAGAGAGAGTATAAACTTGACGCGTAAGGAGAAAGCTTTGAAGCGGCGCATTTTGGTCGCACAGCAGCATCAACGTGGTGAGAGGAAGAGTGAAGGAAAGCTAGAAGAATCGAGCGGCAGAGTTGCCTTTTCCCACGCACCGATAGGTTAGATAAATAATTCATTGAAAAATGAAAAATAGCTTTTCGCTGCCGAATAAGCCAAGCGGTGATTCAAATACATAAACCGTTCCTCTTCTCTCCGTTCTCTCCCTTCTCCTTCGACAAAGAAGAAATGAAGAAACGCACGGTGCAGACATGGGGACTGGCGGTTCTGTCTTTCATTGTGTTGATGACCGTCACTCCTCAGCCCCAACACGACCACGATTTCGCCCGTGAACGCGAGTTCTTATGTGCACTTAAAAACTTTTACAATGAAAAAAAAAAAAAAAAAGTTGTTTGCAGTTTCAATTGGGATGAATTTAAGGTTCTAAGTTAGAGATACTAAATTCGAATATCAAGACAGATTCCTTATTGTTGTTTTATAGGTATTCCAAATACCATGGATGTGATGTCGAATTTTCCAGTTCCTTGTTATTGGCCTCATAGGTCTTGCACTCTGCCATCATGGAATTACATGGAGATCAGGTAAAATATTGTTGGTAATTACTAATTAGGAAATGAATTTGAGAAAGTCTTTTGAAGCTATTCAAGATGATCATATAATTGCTAATTAAGATTTATCTGCACTAAAAGGTTACGAGGCAAGCGATTATGCTGGACTTGTTTTTTCATTCGTGTAGTTGCTGTTGATCTTGGTTCCTCATACTATCATCTCAAGCCAAATGATGCTAGGCTTCTGTGGGATTGGCTGCCAGTGAGTTCATGGTTATGGTTGAATATCAGCTGTTATTTCTGGAGATGTTGTTTGGGTGGTTTTTCAATCCTATTTACTTGTTTATGCTGTGATAATATATATATGACTGTGACATTTGCATCAATCATGGCAACATGCATCGTTGAGAGAGTTGATGTGCTGAAGGGAACAGTTTCCCTGATACCACTGCTTTTGTCAGGTGTAACAAGCAATTTGTATTGGAGGCAGGTGCAAAGTTTTGTCATCCGTTTTCCCGATGATAATTTTCTTTTAAGCCTGTTTGTTTGACATTTTAAACAAAACCTTTGCTTCAGATCAGCAAAATGATAGTTGGTAACTGTCTTGAACTACTTACTTTCTTATGCAGGTTGTTCAGTGATCTTCGACCTTATGTCCATGTCCAATAAACTAAAGATGTGATAATTTATTAATGAAAAAACTTTTTTTGTTTTTTTTTGAACAATTGATCATGAAGTGAGTTGAACCTGTCAAAGGGAAAAGAATGTACCTTTCATCGTTGCAATTGTCACTAGACTCAAAGGCCAGGTGTAATAAAAAAACTTATTTAAATAATGATTAATTAGAGATAAATATGAAATTTGATCAATTAATTATTATATTTTTATGTTATCAAAAAAATCAAACTTATTAAAATTAAACAGATGGATTAATTTACACAAATTTTGACTAAAAAAAAATCTATCGTAGTGGAACATATGGGAGAGAGTGTACGCTATACTAAAGTTCCGCCTAACATTTTTGTCTTGATAATTAAAACTTAAAAATCAGACCAATTCTATTGTTGAATGGAAGGAGTATCTATTATTAAATAATTATATATTAATTAAGGTAAGTGCCTATATATAACACCTAAGGTAAATATATTATCATTAAATAATAAAAAATTTTAATACCATAATTTATAGTGTATTCGTTGGACCTTTTGTGATAACTATTTTTTATATAAAAAATTAGTTAACTTTGATTTCTCAATAAAAAGAGGGCCAAATTTGCAAGTGTTGGATACAGTATATAAGTTTTAGCGGGTACAGCGAGCATTAGACATCCAATTGATAGCTGAAAATGAAATGGAGAACCAAATTTCATAGTTCACCTTTATCTTGTTCATAATCACCATGGTCTTGATGATATGGGAAAAATCATTAGATAGAAGAAAGCTGCCTCCTGGACCTGGAAAACTACCCATCATAGGATACCTCCATCTCTTTATTTACACTCTTCCTCATTACATTCTGCGGGACTTGGCCAAGATATATGGCCCTGTTATGCACATGAAGTTTGGTGAAGTCCCTACCTGTCCTCTCCTCAACAGAAACTGTAGGCGACGCCCTGAAAACCAATGATCTCATTTTCGTTGCCAGGCCCCAATTGCAACCTTTCAAGTTATTAACTTACGGTTTTTAAGACCTTGGGACGGCACCATGCGGGGGCTACGTGCGACTGAGGCGAAGGATTTTCGCAACAGAGTACACGAACAATTCGCGCTTCGGGTCAATCAGGGAAGAAGAGGTGTTGAATTTCCGTAAAAACATATCATCAAGGGCAGGATCAGCAATCAACCTTAAGACCCTTGCTGTCGTCCGCTTCACTTAAAATGATTTCTATTCTAGGATAGTCATTTGGGGGGTGGGGGGTGAATCCAAATGCGAAAAAGAATTGAAGAAGGTCACTCGGGATATTATAGCATTATATATTCAGACGTTAGTCTTGATGATTTGTTTCCTTCCAACATTTTGCCCCATCTCATCCGCGAAATCATGCCTACACCCAATAAGCTGCAGCAGAAACTAGATGAGATTATGGAAAATATTTTTTAGGAACATAGAGCTAATAGAGCTACAGAAGATCTTGTGTCTATACTTTTGGGTCTTCTACAACAAGATCTTCAAACTCCCTTTACAACAAACCACCTAAAAGCTATTATCATGGTTGGTATATTTCCCATCTCTCTCTTTCTTCTTCTTTTTCTTATATAGTTTAGGATAGAGATTCATTCTTGGTCGTCTACAATTCTCTATTTTAATGGGATATTAAAATGACCATAATATTTGTCTCCGTATTTGCCAGTTTTCTATTCTAAGGGGAAGAAGAGCCAGTTCTGTCCCAGCCAGAACCTTATAGACCTCATCCTGATCAAAGGTGTACCATCCACTTGGTAATAACACTCAACTTGGACCAACAATGCTTCTAAGATTTCTTCCATAATGAGTCAATCAAATAAATCAAGAGCAAATTCAACTTGCAACACTGCCTGACTAGTGTTCCACAATATATATGTTACATTAACAAACAAATTGAGAAGTAACAGCAATGTGGCCTAGTTTTCTATTGGCATTAAGTCAATTGAAGCCATCAACAAGAATAACAACCAATACAAGAGAAGTTTTCTGACCTTCGTTTGAATGCAGTTACCTCATACTGGAAACCTGCCTAGCTTCGATATCCTGTAGTCTAAGAGTCACAGCTCTTTTATGGGCTTCAAGACCCTCAACTTCAGCCATGGTTGCCACATATGGGCCAAGATTTCTAAGACCTTCCTCTGTCAAAGATTGTACTGTCATGTACTTGAGGAAAGAATCCAGAGACACTCCACCATACATCCTTGCATACCCATATGTTGGAAGGACATGGTTTGTTCCGCTTGCATAGTCCCCTACACTTTCTGGTGTCCACTGCCCCAAGAATACAGAACCTGCAGTGCCAATGAATCACATACAAATCCACGATGAACCTTTCATAAAGAAAATGATATATATGAAAAATTAAGCCCCACATGTTTCTGGTATGTCAACTGATTGGCTACACTGCTGGTGTGCTATAAAATAAATAAATAAAACAACTGGTGTGTTGGTGATATTGCAACAAACTCCATGCTACAAGTCAAAACAATATAAAAATAGTAATGATTGAAAAAAATTACCTGCATTCTCGATCAAACCTTCCCATTTTTCAGCATCCTTCACATTGATTATCAGATGCTCAGGAGCATATAAATTTGAGAAGGAGATTGCCTGAAACACCAAATGACACATGAAGTTTGGGAAATAGAATATGAAGTTTCATCATTAATGTACCATAAGCCGTGAAATCACATTTTCGAAAAAGAGATTAATATAGGAGCATATTAGCATGGATATCCAAGCCACTGAAAGATCAACACAAATGTTATACCTCTGATAATACAGAACTTTTAAAAGAAACTCATAACTGTCAGCCAGCTGGAATGGCAAAGCTAACAGATAGTAGTATTGTAAAACTTCAGTCCAAAATAAGCTTGTAACCCAAACCTCTATTTAATGTTAACATTACTACATGAAGCCTAGCATCCACACAAATAGTGCAACTTCACATTATTCAACAGATGAGAAGCAAGATACAAAAATGAAACTAACCTCCACCATATCACGAGCAAATACAGTGAAACTGTGGCTAAGTGCTTTTGAAGCAAATTGTGCCCTTGGAAGGCTGTCGCACTGCTTATTAACTTCTTCTTCAATAGCTTTTATATCCACACCATGACCAGCTATTACAAGAACAACCTGACTATCAGGACCGTGCTCAGCCTGAAACATGTAATTTATATTTAAGAAATTATCTGAAAAATAACAAAAAAAAAGGAAAACAAAGTTGGAAACAGAACAGAACCAGACTAATTTGTTTCAGCCAGTCAAAAATGAAGGGAAAAAGAAAAGGGCAAAACTCTTAAGATTTTACAATGCAGGTGGTAAAATGAGAAACTAAGTAAGCAGTTTAAGCCAAGCAAACACCTGAGAAAGCAAATCTGCAGCTACATGGACAGGACTGGCATGTTTGTCAGCAATGACTAAAACCTCTGAAGGTCCAGCAGGCATGTCAATTGAAATCATAGCTTCACTATTCTGAGAGGATATAGTAACACAGAAAAGTGACTCAAATGAAGAAGGAGCAAGTGCATTTTCTCATTCTTTTCTTTTATTGAATTAAAATGCAGTTAAGTGAAAAGGTTCTAAGAGTAAGAAAAGTATATTTACTTGGAGAATCATTTTTGCTGCAGTTACATACTGATTTCCAGGTCCAAAAATCTTCTCAACCTAAATGATGACATGGATCAGATACAGAATTACAGAGCTTTTTATCAGTCATTATAATTTCATTTTTCAGCATTATGTTGCAAACTCTGCCAGCATAAGATTAAAGGCTTATTTTCAACATCTGTCAGACACTAATATTCTGCAAACTACTCATACTAAATTGCCACTAATCAATTGACAATTTGAAAGATATAGAGAGGGCCATAAAATTGAGCTACAACTGATCCACAAAGACATTCAATCCACCGAAACAAAATTCAGTCTTCAATCCTTACAATAAAGATTTTCATCACTTCCACAGGATTGAAGCAGTACTAACCATAATTAAAAGGAGGATTCTGACCAGTTGGCATGGTATCAGATAAATAAAACAGTAAAACACAGTTCAGTCAAATAAAAACCCAACTTACCAAACTTTATTATCAAAGAATCTATCAAATATAATCCAAATAGAATTAAGTTAAGTTTCTAATTGATAGACTAATGACGAAAAAGACAAATAAAATCAATAGTTGGTTGACAAAAATAATAGTCATGTCTTTATCAGTGTTATGTATCAACGAGAAGGAGTCGACTTGACGAGAGACTAATACCTTTGGGCAAGATTCTGTACCCCAGGCCATTGCAGATATGGCCTACAAACATTCAATTAAAAATAAAAGAAGGTATTCGATTAGTCAAAATAACTAAAAAATATAACTTTTAATAACAGTATAAAGATTAGGCCTGAGACCAAAAAAAAATCAATCTAAAATGTGAAATATATGCTTAAGACCTGAGCTCCTCCGGCTTTAAGAATGTGAGTCACACCAGCCTTCTTGGCACAATACAACACCTCCTGCAAGAAAATGCCAATTAGCTCCAAGTATGAAATATCTCCAGAGATTTTGACATGCATTGGCAAAAATTACCTTACATATGCTGCCATCCTGACTTGGGGGAGTAGCTAAAACAACAGTTTTGCACCCAGCAATCTGTGCTGGCTGATGCACAAAGTAAACTAAGAGTCAAACTGGTTTATCTAGAACAATGATTAAAAAAAAAAAAAAAAAACCCAGAAAGAATCAATACAATGCACCTGATCCACCTACCACAGAAAGCATCAGAGCTGTTGAAGGCAAAACAGCAGTTCCCCCAGGTACATAAAGACCAACAGAACCAATACTCCTCGCCATCCTTTTGCATTTAACCCCCTGATCCACTCAGACTTCATGGTATCAAATGTTCATGCAAACAAAAGTTAAAGGCAGTAGAGAGTTATAATGCACTAATGCTGACTTACTTTCATGTTCTCAACACTTTTCTCAGCTGATTTTTGAGCAAGATGAAATGCATATATGTTGTCATAGGCCACATCAAATGCCTCTTTAACAGCTGCATCAAGCTGAAATAAGCACTTGTTAGAGTCTAACAAGAATTATTAAAAAAGAAATGGATTTCAGAACATCATGCTCAGAGAAATCATGTTAAACAGAAATACCTCAGGG